TGATTGTCATATGTGGACAGTCCTTTCTTCTGAAGGTGCTGAAAACTGAAAAGTTGGGAAATTTCATTCTCAGAATTGGTTCCTTAACTAGAAACCTGATGGACACTTTGATTAAGAATGGAGATGTTTGTTCTCACTTGTTGTTCACTTTATTCTGCTGAAGAGCTTTGAAATCACCTCCTTTAGCCAAGGTTTATCATGTCCAGGCTTTGGTTATGAACATAACCATGAGGCTCTTTTCCTACACAGATTGTCAATAATATCTGTGTAAAATATCTATTTTTAAGAATCCTTTTTGCATTAATAAGGCAAACCTAGAAGTATCTCACCTGTCCAAGGATCCTCAAATGCAAATTCAGTTATCCTGGAATTTTCTTGGCCCAGGCAAAAGGTCTCCTCATTTTTGGATCTGCTTTAACCTATTTCTGTGCAATAATAGGATCTTTCTAGTCAAGTATGTCTTCTCCAAGGATACTTTGCTTCTTTTTGGGCCATTTAAAATGCCTTTTCTTTCTCTCTGACAGAGAAAGAATGATTGTAACTATAAAGTATAGCCTCCTTCTTCCTTTGTAACTTGCAAATTTGGCATCTAAACTATGCCAAAAATGATTGCTTTTAGGGGCTTTGGTGAAGGATTCTGACTGTGATATAAAGAGGAAGGAATATAAGTAAAACAAACATTTATCACTCTACAATTTGCATACCATGTTTAGCTCAGCTATGATTTCAACCAGCACATAAAGCCCCAAAATTGGTCTTTGAACTGCAAAGTTGAGCTTAACTGCAGCAATGCTGTAAGCATTGCTAGGATATATTGGAACAAAAGGACTTAACATTCATTCTTGGCTTCTTGTTCAAATTTATTAACTTCTTGGTGTATTTTTGCATGAACTCTGATGGACTGAGCCATCCATATCTATCTCCAAAGGTTTACAGTGCCAACTGAATTCTTTGAAAAGGTTTCAGTGTTTATTTAGTTGCTTGTATTGGGCTTTGGATTCTCTGCTGCTAAGTATCTTCCCTTGAAGCCAGAATCCACATTTTCAGGTCTCCATCTAACCAACCTTTTGGGACAAAGTAAAGTTCCTGAAAGCTTAAGCCCAATATACTGCAGCACAATTATGAATTGAACAGGGAAAGGAAATTGGAAGGAGCAACTGAAGATATTTTACTCTTATGAATTAGTACACAAATACAGATTTATAGCCTGCATGTGTGTTTTGTTTGGGCTGATGGCTGTAACTAAGGACACCTGTAAGCCAGGGGAAAAGGGAGAGAATGAAAACTAAAGGGAGGGAAAATGTAATGATATGCAGCATTTCAGAGCTGATTTGGTGTCTGTTATGTGAGCCTTAAAAACTTGTTTTTCTTCTCCTGGAAAACCTGTATCGTTTAACTGGTGTGCCTTAGTGTAAAGTATGAAATATAATGATTTTATTTTAAAGATTCTTACAACATTTCCAAAGGAAATGTTGAGCTAAGTGCAGAATTTGTGGGATCAGTTAGCTTATAAATAATGATCCTTTATGCTGGCATTGGGAAATCCATGTTCCCACAGCTAGTTCAATAAAGTAATTAATATCAATGAATGCTGAAGAAAGCAAATCTCTGTTCACTTTTGTCTGGATTAGTTAACATAAGAAAAATCCCATCCCTCTCCTGGAGTATTTAACCTTCTCCTAGGAAGACATGCTAATGAAAGGTAAATAAAATGTGCTGCTTGACATGTGTTTGCCATTCCTCCCTGTTCCTCATGTCACACACTTTCCCTCTTACAAGACAATCCACATTTTTTCCCTCTGGAAGTCTTCACTGCGTTTATTTTGTTTCATGCATCCCTCTGTGCCAAACCTGTCTTGTCATCCTCCCTCGGCGTTCCTGCTGGTGTTTCTAGGCTATTCCTGCTCAGCTGAATCTCATTAAAGAGGGACTTCACCTCCAGAACTCACAGATAATGTGTCTCGAGCACACACAGAGCTGAAATCTGCCACGTAGAGAATTCCTGGTTTATTTGGCACCGCATTCAATCCAGGGGCAAGTGCTTCTCCTCGTTCAGGGCATATTTCTGTAGCCCACGTTAAAATCTCCACTAAAGGAGGAGGAAGGTCTGTCGAGGGAATGGGTGTGGTTTTACTGACCTCATCCCACAGCCACGAATTTGTGCGCTCGGGCTTTGGAGATCAAAATTTTTGATAAAAAAGAGTTGTAAAACCGCCCTGAACTTCCCCTGCGTTTGGCTCCGTTATCTGAGATTTCACACACAAGCAGTAAAAAAATAAAAAGAAAAAAGAGCTTAAAAGATTTTTATCCCAGAGCAGCCAAGAAGTGTGGTAATAAGGTAAAGGTTGAGAAGCATTGTTGGCATAAGAAATCCCCTCCTTCCCCTGGATTTATAACACACCCAGTTTAGTAAGGACTGGCGCTGCTGAGCATTTTCTGACAGTGTTGGGATAATATATTGCAAAAGGCAGAGTGGCCAAGTCTCACACCTGAGCAGCAAGACACACTTCATCCTGCCCATGGAGAAACCTAAATCAAACCTCAACGTTACTACAATGCAATTACTCCTCTCCTAGGAGCTCCAACTGCTTGGGTTTGATGTGTAAAACTTGTGATTTTGCTATAATGGAAGAGTTTATTAACCCCTTAAGTATTTGTATGGCCTCTGCTTTTGGAGGGGTCGGCTTTTAAAGTTTACTAGATGCGTTTCAAAGGGAAGCAATAGAGTGTGATGCCATGGGTGTGAGGCCAAAGCAGCTTTCCAATGGAGTTTAATTTTTTGGAAAGTAAATAAAACAATATGTGGAGCTGTGGATTGCTTTTCCCGTCACCAGTGAGTGCTGTGAGACCTCCATCACTTCAATAAGAAATTTTGTTTAATGAGGCAACAGACTTTCCACATTTGGGAGATTCTGTGGAAGGCTGGTGTTGCTCTTTTGCAGAATCACAGAATGATTAGGGTCGGGAAAGACCTTCAAAATCATCAAGTCCAAGCTGTGACAAATCCTCACCAGAGTAATGAGTGCCATGTCCTTGAAGACCTCCAGAGATGGGAACTCCACCACATTTTCCATTTTGCATTCCTCTTTCCATATGTTAAACTCAGTATCTTGCCACAATCACTTCTTCTTTCTCCTTGCTGTTATTAATAAACCCCCCCTATTTTTATAAAAAATCCTATACTAAAGATACACAAATAGAAGGAAGATTTTGGTGTGAGATGTGACAGAGTCTCACAAGAAAGGAGCGTAGATCTTGAGCATGTAATGCTGCTACTTTTGCATGCTGCCTTTTTCTTCACATATACTCTTTCAAGAGATCATATTTCACACCACACATATTCCAGAATCTCTCTCTCTAGTTCTTATCATGACTTTAATAGCTCGTTTCCATTCCATACTCTGCGTTGTGTTACTTTTCTCATGTACCCTGTTTGATACCTCCAGTGAAAGCAGAAGAGAAAAAGCAGAGACACTGAGTTCAAGCCTCATGTTCCATTTATTATTATGACTGTGGGAAGTTTAACTCCAAAAAGAAAATTTTATCAAGAGATAAGAAATAGAAGCAGACATAATAAGGCAAAAGTTATAGTGAAAAACTGCTGTTGTAGTTTTTGGGTATCATTTTATTCTTCTATTTCTTTATAAAACTGGTGGAGATTTTTGTTTGCTTGATTTTTTTGTGGTTTTTTGTTTGTTTGTTTGTTTTTTACAATATTAGTATTGCAGAATAGGGGACACGAGATTCAAACCCCCACAATGTTTGCTTCTGATTTGGTCAAACCCAATAAAAATTTCAGTCTGTCATCATGAGTAGGAATATTTCATTTCAAATCAGTTGACAGTCTGATGAGCTGGCTTATGGTGACCCTTTTACAGAGTTGTAGATGAAGTTCCTCAGCCTTCCCTTTCCTGGTAAAAAATTAAAATTTGATGTTGGGTTATAACTTTTTATGATGATCAGCCCAGCAGAGTTATTTCATCATAGAATGGAGGTTCTGTTATTTTAGGGCAACTTGGTGCTGTCTGACACAGGAAAATGCTGGGTCGTGAAACTGCCATCAGATTTTCAGTGATTTTCTCCTGACAGCTCCAGGGAGAGGTTTAACGTAGCCTCTCCTTTCCTGCTGCACAGGGAATTAAACACATTCTTCTCTCATGGACATGGTGTGTCCTCTCTGGCATGGCACCCATCTTAGACAGGCAACTCTGCGTGGTCACCAAGGGCTCAGCTGAGCTGTCTTTTAGGAACTGGTTGATTATTTGCATCTTTTGAGCCACATCTGACAGCACTGATGATTTAGGGCATGCAAAAATGCTCCAAGTGCTGGAAAAGTCTTGAGGCTCTCCTTTGGCAAACTGGGAGTAACCTCCTTAATGCTGCACAGGACAGTGAAGGGTATGAATGTAGCTCAGTTTGCCAACTCTTGACTTGGGACATGTCTCAAAAAAGATTCTTATTTCTTTTAGCCAGCAGGCATTTGCATTTCCAACGCTGCTGGAAATCAGGGAACAGGTTTGGCTGGAGTGCAGACAGAAACAAACACCATGTACCATTTTCTCCTTGCCCTGTGACAGCTCTGGTGAAAACTGCAGCTTCTGCCTTATGGAACAAGTTTAATCTCAAGCAGAAAAGAACAAGGAAAAAAAAAACTCTTAAAATTGCTGTAAAGTACTGTAAAGAAAGTATCCTGCTGCACTAAACATATTTTTAAAGATTCATTTATGCTGATTTCAGATAAAAATGTGCCAGTAGAAGTAAAATAACCTCCTGCAGATAATACAGGTAGCCACAAACTTTGGCTGTCCTCTAATTCCCAAACACTTATCCCCACATACACTTCCTGTTCCCTGACTCTCATCAGCTGGAAAAGTCATTATCTGAAGGGAGAGCTTTGCATCTGTCAGCTGGGAAAGTGATTACTTAAATTGATAGCAATAGCAGTTGTTTTAGTTTGAAATGGCCATTTCAAACATTCTTTTTTTTTTTTTTTTTTTTTGCAGGCTGGGGGTGAAGTTGTTATTATTATTTGGTCAGTCTATTGTTGAGAACATCAAAGAATTAAACAACATGAACATCTCAGCTTCTTGCTGACACTCAGATGGGCAAGCTTTGGTGATAAACTGGCCCAGACAAAATAGATGGGAATGACTTTTGGAGAGCATTTTCTTTGAATTTGAACAATTTGGTTATTTTTCTTTGAATTTGAACAACCACACCAATAACAGAAAGTGGTTTCTTTGCTTCCCTTTCCTTCGTGCCTCCCCTTTAAAGTGTCTCTTCTCCACCATTTTTTATCCTGACATATAGGTGGGAATGAAATACCATCCTGGGGACCCTCTCCTTGTCCTTTAAATACCTCAGAGTCAAAACTGGTAAGAACTGGGAGCACCCTAATTAAGTTGAGTTGATTGCAAATTGATGTTTCCTTACAGGAATTGAAGCCACCTCCCCCCTCCCACGCCCAAATCATCTTTTCAGTTCTGTGAATTGCCTTTAATTGCTACGAAGGACATCATAAATTTCTGGTTCTTCCAAAAAGTTATTGGAAGTCTCAAAGTCTCCAAGTTTTCTTTAAAAATGTAGGCCAGCTCCAAAATGCTCAAAAGTGTGACTTCATTGAATGCTCTTAACATCCATATTTAGTTCCCAAATAAGTAGCCTAATTTTCTGTAACACTGTGCAATCAGTAAGTCTCATTGACCTCACTGAGTGTCTGCCTTCTCAGCAATTCCAAAAAAGAAAGCAATTTATTTAGAAGTCAAATATACTCAGAGAGTCTTCACTTGTTCATGTTTTCTAAAGAATGTATTTTTAAAAAATGTATTGAACTTTCTGTGTTCATGTGTTCTTTGAGGGGCAGAGATAGGATGAATACTTTTTATGTGTTTATCTTCAGACACTTCTATATTATTTTATTCTAAAAGGATATTAATCTTTTATTAGATTTGAATAACATGAGAAGATTGAGATGTCTTGGGCTGTGTTGGAAATAAAACAGTTGTGTCCTCTATCCTGTTGCGGATTTGGCTTGGAAAATGCTTCATGTGGAAATTTCCACCCTCTTATTTCATATGGTTTAAGAATTCAAATGATGGAGCAACCTGGCTTTGGACTCCAATGTTGTCTGAATGCCTGATCCTTTGAGTTTTGTTATTTTGACTCTTATCTCCCATATTTTTATAACCTGAATAACTTGTTGTCAGTTCATTATTGAATGAGCCATTTATTATCCTGAGACCTGCTATACAAACACAGTTAACAATCCTGTTATTTATCCTGTGAAATCTCACAAACTGTTATGAGTATTTTATTAAACATGAGGCATCTCAATAAATCTCATGATGGATCTAATTCTCAACAAAAAATGAACCATGCAAAGTTCAGAATATATTCCTGTAATACTTTTTCCAGACAGGAGATCTGAATTTTAACTCCTCCTGGCAATCAGAGGGTGACAGAGTTATCTGGTATTTAAACTTGTGTGCTGGGGTCTTTTGTTTCACTAATACTTGTCAAACTTCACACTTAATGAGTCCTGCTTCCCTCCTGTATTTCTTGTTAAAGGTCTGTTTAAGGTATTTTTTTCCCATTAGAACCATGGTGAATTTTCATTAAAACAATAAAGAAATGCTTTTCAAAAGTGAACTGCCCAGGCTCAGAGCCAGCACTGGTGGAACTCGTGAAAGATGATGGTGAAGACTGGAAGGCTGTCTGCCCTGGTGCTCATTTTACATTTCCAGTGTCTTCTTCTGTCTCCTTTCACACATCTCTCCAAGTTTCAATTGTTTCACTAGGAAAAATATTCAACAGCTTTAACATACACTGAACCAACCACTTCCATTCTGGTTGATTTTTATTTTATGGTTTCTAGAAGATTGTATACAATTACCCATAAAATGCTAAGACATCTCTTTAGTTTTTCTCTGATTTTTTTTATTCTTACTGCAAGTATTTTTATGACAACGGGAATGGACAATTCTGATATGCTGCTGTAAATTTCCCTAATGAGTCTCCTCTTCTACAGCCTTTCATCTTTCCCATATTTTCCCCTCATTCACAGTATTCCATGGTGATGCCAAGCCAGGACACTTACATATTTGTCCTCTTTGCACAGATGATTTCCTTGAGTCAGAGCTGGAAGATCTGGGGAACATGGAATATGAAAACACACAGCATCATGAAAAACCTGCTTATTTTACACCTAGAATTTGCTGCAGAATCCAGTTTGCCAGTCCCTCTTGCATACGCTTCTTGTAAAAACTCTTTGTATGTTTGTTATTACTATTAAAACTCATAGTTTTATGTTGTGGAAGAATCATTTTGGGGCAAGGAGTCGGGGGTGGTGTGAGGAGATCTTTTTATAAAACATGGTCTAGGGTGAAATTAAGTCAGGTGAGACAACATCACATCTGAGAGCCATTTATTGGGAAGGAAAAGGGAGATGCCCTACTACTGAGGAAGAGTAGAGAAGACAGAGATAGAGGAAGGAAAATGCAGAAGGACACACGAGGCTCAGAGGGCAGCAGTGTCCAGCCCTGCACCTGGCCAGAGGAAGAGCGAGGAGTGGCAGAATAAAGGAGCTCCCAGGCTGTCCTTAATGCATCAGGAGGTACTTCAGTGTCTCTGTCAGGAATAGATTATATTGCCTATCATAAACAAATTGAATATTTCTAGTAAATTCAAATGAAATGGAAACAGCTTCATGAGGAAGAGTGGAGGGATGCTGCATGTAAAATAAAATTTCTTTACATGGCTCTTCAATAGTTTATTGCTCACTTGCATCCATGTGGTTTGAGTTGGAGGTTTGTTTTTTTTTTTTTTAGGATATCCGGTGAATATAAACATAATTGCCTAGCTTTTATTCTCTTTCTTCTTGTGGTACCTGAATGTTGATTGAGTTCTATGCTTTAATGCAAATCCTTCCTTTCCTGGACTCTTTAATGCAAATCCTTCCTTTCCTTGCCCTCTTTAGAGGGCAAGTAGTTTTTCATAGTTTTTTATACACCACAAGGAAAACCCCTTAATTTTACCAGTTCAAATGTATACATTTTATATCATCTAAACTTTTTGGAAGGTAAAATAAACAGGGATAGCAGACTGGACTGGGGATTAATTTAAAGGGCATTGTGATGCCCACATACAGCTACTTTAAACTGAGGGACAGAAAGCAAACAGCCTTTCCTACCTCAATGGTTTTGACAAGTGGTAAAGTGGAAAAATGGACAAAAAAATGTTTTTTTTTCATATACATCTAGACTTCAAAACTTAATCGTTTGTCTGTATGACTTAAACTCACATTTAATGGCTGATCTCTGTAATTTGTGAGCCTCTGCTGTAGTTCAGGCCTGCAGACATGCTCAGGGAGGGCAGGGCCAGGAATTTTGATGGACATGGCATGGAAGGGTTGGCAAACCCTGAGTAATGAAGTGATTACAGCATCTCGTACATCTTCTGATTAATAAGACAAAATTCAGTCGCCCAAACGAAAATCAGTCCTGACCAGAGAAGAAAGCTGCATGAGAGTGTTCTTTCTATCAGTTCAAATAGAAACTGCCCTGTGATCACTGTGAGTTTGCAGAAGATAACTCCTGCTCCATGTGGCATCGCTGCTCTTGGCATCTCACCACGAAATGCAGTCCTGGACTCGGGCCAGATTAAACAGCTGAGTAGCTCTGCCTTTAGATCCAGAGGCACAGGAGAGCAGGAAAATAATTCTCCAATGTCAAAATCTATTTTCTTACTTTTAGCAGTAGCTAACATTTTGTGATATATATACACAAGCCCACATAATGAAACTGTTTTATGAGGCTACAAGGACATATGTGGGAAAAGAAATATGGTGTATTTTAAAAATTTGTAGCAATGGAGATTATTCATACTTTATGTGGTGTTGGAAGTTAATGTTTGTGATCTTTGTTGCTGTTATGCTGTGCAAAATGAGCATTGGTGTAATTTAAGTAACCATGGATCAGAGACATCAACTGACTCCCAGAATTTCTGATTTTTATCATCTCTGTTTCTACCACAAAAAGGCTGTGGGGTTTGAGAGTTTGTTCTGGGTTTTGGGGAGGTACTTGGAAACACTTGCCTTGATGTTCTGAGGGAGGTTCAGAAGATTAAGGGACTTGGTAAAGCCACCAGTGCAATGATTTGCCAATAAATTTTCCAAAGCTTTCGTTTTGCAGTGATTGTCACCCCACAGAAAGTACACTTTTAAAAAATCCAAATTAGTTGAGAAGCAAGTTGAGGTTTTTTTATTGAATCAGGCTATTGCTTCAGAACTTTTCACACTTTCCTTGGTTTTTGGGTTTCCTTTGGAGTAGCAGATATTGCTCAGGTGCAAGAAGGTTGCCACCCAATGGACCAGGGCCATGTGGAGATACAAAACTGAATTTTATTTCCTTACTTTGTTTTTTGGGGTGAACTGAAGCTGTACCCATGAAGTTCATTTATTACAAAACTTTGAAGGTTATTTCCTACCTCATTTTCTGGGGTGAACTGAAGCTGTACCCATGAGCTGCACCTGAACGTTCAGAAGATCTGAGTTTCCCATGGCTGGGGAAACTTGTAGCCACAGGAATATCTGAGCTAAATTCTCAATGACAAATCAAATAGAGAGAAATGTTGTCTGGTGTGCTAAAATAATACAGGCATCCAGTAATGCCTGGCAAGTCATGCACTGCATTAAAACCCTCCCAAAAAAAAAAAAAATCAAGACAGATATAAAATAATTGGGAGGTTCTCTTTCTTCCTGTGAAGATCATCAGTATACAGTAAGTCTCTTAAAGACCAGTGTTTAATTATTAAGGCTGCCAGTTTAATGAAAAAGTAACAACTCAGTTCAATAATTCATGACAACAATTTGAGGCAAAGCACACAAAATATTTTTAGCATGTGTCTCAAGAACAGTTAGACACAGGATCAAAATATGCAATGTTACACACAGTATGTTCTTATCTGTTAGGTCTGGTAGAGGGAATAAACATTTTTTCCTGATGAGAAAATCAAAGTTTTGTGCCATTTCAGTGAAGTCAAGTTGACACCTGCAGAGAAGCGAGTCATGACATTTTAGCTGACTGGGTTTCCCCCCACCTTCCTCCAGTTGTGGTTTGTTTCTTCATTTTATTTACCCTGATAGACAAAAGAAAAATGTTGAGATGAGGTTTTGGCATATTTTCTAATAATTATTCCTTTTTTTTTTTGTTTGTTTGTTTGTTTGTTTGTTTGCTTTCCTCTTCCCTTTTTTTTTTCATTAAATAAGTAGCCCATACTTTCTGGGCTGGGACAGCTCTACTGAGGAGGAAAACACTTGAGCATATTAATATTAAAATAGTGTCCCTCCTTTCTTGTTGCCCCCCCACCCTCAGATTGCTCAAACATTGCTACATTTATCAAGATAATAAGCTTCAGATTTCATAATAGATCTATTTCTGTGTCATCCTGGCATAGACCTGACTGAGCCAGGAAGATCCTTAAAAAAATATGAATTTAGGATCAATAATATTTATAGCTCCATTTATAAAGCTGAAATCAAAGGCATGGATACTGCAGAATTTATTAAGGGAAATTACGCTGGGGATTTTGTTTACTGGCCTCTAATCCTACCTCGACTTTTTAGCATCTCATTTTGTCAGGAAAACATAAGTTGCAGGTGTTCATAAATGTAAACTGGCACATAAAGAAGCTCACAAATTATATCTGTTGTGACCTAATATTGCAGTACAGGGTGCTCTTCAATGGTGTTTTTCCTGGCTGCTTGTTATTTTTGTTAACTCTGGGTACCATTAAAGTCTATGATAAAGTTATTGTAATGGAATTGAAATACATTTTATTACACCAATATAAGTTCCATTTACTGTGCAATGTGACAGTGCTTAATAATTTTATATTACAAGCGTAATTATGACATCAAATTAGTAATTTTCACAAAGTACTTGCATTAGACACTCCTATGATATGATGCAGTGTATTTTAATTCTCTGGGGTGCCTGAAAACACACATTTTAGCAGGGAAAAGGCAGAAATGTAAAAGGAAGCACCTCATGGCTCCTTTGAGCAATTTCCTAAATTTTACCCAATTTTCTAATTAGGTAAATTTCCTAAAGATATTTACCTTCCACTGGGATACAGGTATTATCAAGATTGTTCTTAGATTCCAATACACTGTTGAGAAAGCCAGGAAGTTACTGGAATATAAAAATCGTGATAAATCTTCCTCTTTGGTGATCATGCCAAAGGTCCCCAGTGCCACTGCCTCATTCTGAGCAACGTCTTAATTTGATTAATTCCACTGGACCAGTAAGGCTGTTCCTGGTGGAGTGGGTGGTGGGAAGGATTAGGAACTCCAGCTCAGGGTCTGAAATTGGGAGCTAATGGAGCTGCAGAACCCTCTTGGAAAAGGGAATGAGTTTGTGTCCCAGGGAAATGCAATTCCCTCCAAGGTAGAGCACAGCAGACTTGGCCGTGCTGAGCCACGCTGGTTTTGAGGCAGGAGCTCAAGATTTGTATCCAAGTGATGTTAACAGTGGAATCTTTGGGGTTGTTTTTTCCCTCTCCTTGGGGTATTTGCATGGAATTAATTTTCTATTCAGGTGCTGAAAACTTTTGCATTGCAAATTCGTCTGAGGGTTTGGCTTTTATCTGCTAAAATAAATGACAGAATGTGATGAAGGTTCACGAGCATCTTAATAAACCCTTAAGAGTCTGCCTCAAATACCAGTTTTCTATACTAGAAAGCTCATCAATATCTAGACAGCCATGCAAACAGCGAGGAGGCCAGTCCATTAATGAAATGTTAATGACTGAATTAGACCTGTAATAACAGAAGTAGAATGCACTGCTGTGAGTCCATTAACATCAGCAGACCCTGCTGGGAAACAAGTAAACACAACATACAAAGGGAAAACTTGTGCTAATAAACAGTTTTTGTGCAGTAAAGGTGCTCAGAAGCCCAAGCTGTAAATCCCATTCATTGCTGTTCTAGTGGGGATTTTTTTGGAAAAGTTTATCCACAAGCCACATACCCGATATATATTTCACAGGGACTTAAAAAGAAAATGCTCCACAGCAAAGTCCTTGCTCTGAAAATTAGTAAAGACTGTTGCCATATATCCTGACAAACATTCCTATTGTGGTTTGTGGTAAGAATAAGCAGTTCAATGGCAAGTGCAGTTTTATTCTTGTCTTTGGGGAGAATTTCTTCCCTGTGAGAGTGCTGAGGCTCTGGCACAGGCTGCCCAGAGAAGTTGTGCCTGCCCATCCCTGGAAGTTTTCCAGGCCATGTTGGACAGGGCTTGGAACAA